ACATCTCTGGCCTGTACCCCAGTTCTGTATGAATAAATAAATAAATCTTTAAAAAAAATAAATAGTGCTGCTATGAATACGGGAATGAAAGTTTCCCTTTGAATTAGTGTTTTTGCATTATTCAGGAAAATACCCCAGTGTGGAATTGCTGGGTCCTATGACAGATCTATTTTAAAAAAATATTTATGCATGCAGAACTGGGGTACAGCTCAGAGGTGCAGGGTCGGTGAGAGGATTCACCAGAGACAGAGTGGGGAGCAGAACAGACAGATTGACAAAGCACACTGCTGGGGGAGCAACAGGCGAGACAGGAGAGGTCTGCTGCACCAGGTGGGTCACCTCTGGAGCTGGGTATTGAACTCGTGCTGAAGCGGCCATAGGTTGGCTTAGCTTTTCAGTGCAGTGCTCCAACCTGCTGCGCCACCAGGGAGGGCCCCTATGGGCCGACTTTTGTTTGTTTGCTCTAGCCTGCCCTGTCATGTGGCCATGTTATTCCCCTCCAGCTCTGAACCATATTCTGCATCTTCCCTTCAGCTGCCCTGTGATGGACATGCTCACCTCACGCTTGTCATGCTGTCAAGGCTGCCACCTGCCCTCACCCAGGCTTTCAGCTTCCTGTTTTTTGGCCCCACCCTAAAGGCTTTTGGACTAAATTATTTAGGAAGAAAAGAGATTAAAAGAACTGCTTAGAGTATTTTATTCTTTTGGATATTTTTGCAGCTATACTTTGCTGTTGATGAGAGTAAGATTCTCATTCCTTTGATAAATTCAGTCCTCTACAGTATACACAGTGTATTCTAATTTGAGCAGGAAATGTGGAATGGGGAGATAGAATCCTGATCTAGTGTCAGATGCCTGGTATGCTCTGTCAATCTGCTACTAAGAAACAGGTGACTTAAAAAAATTATTCATGTATGCATACAAGAACTGGGTATAGGCCAGAGTGTGGGGGTTGAGAGGATTCATCAGAGACAGAGTGGGGAGCAGAACAGGCAGATTGAAATACACTGCTGAGGGGAGCAGCAGATGGATCAGGAGAGGTCTGCTGCGCCACGTGGGTCACCTCCCTGGCTGGGGACTGAACTCATGTTACAGTGGCTGCAGATCACTTCATAGCACTATGCTTTAACCCGCTGAGCCACCAGGGTGGGCCTGAAACAGGCTGAGTTTATGCAGCTAGTTTCCTTTTGCTGATCCTCTGTTCAGGCTTCTGTAAAACTGAGACGATGATGCTTATTTCACAGTATTTCTCGGGAATTGACTATAGTAATATTTGTAAAGTACTGAACAAAAGTTAGCTCTCTCTAGCTCCCAGAGAAAATAATCAAGGGAGGGATTCAACTTGCCTAAAATCATGCAGTCAGTAAGCTGCTGGCCCAGACTGACATGTTTGCTTATTTGTGTATCCCTGGCTTGGAGTTCTTTCAGTTGTCCCACTTCCTATCCAGAATACTTGTTCTCAGGAACTCTTGGAAAACGTGCCTGCCTCCAGGAATGAACAAGGGAAACCAGGCATCCTGTGAGTGCCTTTTCCTTCCAGGAACTCTGCTATCTTCTTTTGTTCTAACTCAATTTGTTCCTAACCCCAATGAAGCAACACCACAACTTACTATTCTTATCTTTTACTATTCCCTCCTCTCCCACTCCTGCATGTGTTGTTGACACAGAGATATTTGTTGTTGCAGCCAGAGATATTTCTAAATCAGAGATCAGACACACCACTCCCCTGCTTAGACCTTTCAGTAGTTATTTTCCCACCTCAAATAAAGTCCCCCAGGGGGGACACATTACCTGGCAGGATCTGACCCTGCTGGTACCTGTAACTTCACTCTGTATGATTAGGGCTGGATTACAACTTCTGAAGCTCTAAGCACTGCAATGATGATGCAGCTGCTGCCATAGGAGATTACAAATAAAAACAACACAACATTGTAAAGAGGTTTGGATTTTATTTTATTTATGATTTCTTTCCAAAAACGTTCTACTTCATCCTGCTTGCCTTTGTTCCCTACTCCAGCCTAGCCTTCCCTTTCAATTCTGTTGGAGAGAAAAAATAATTCTCCCTCTACTCTTCTGGGTTCTTGGTTGAGACATGCCCTGTAAAAAAGACAAATTAACAGGAGGAAAACAAACACTATCGCCTCCTTATCCACTTTTATTTATCCCTCAGACTTCACTGTAAAATCAGTTCCCCAAAAAAGTTTTCTCCAGGTGACTCCCACTAACAGCCTCCTGGGTTAAATGTGCTTGGACCCAGTGTGTGTTTGCTGTGCTGGCCCAAAAATTCACAAGCTCATGTGCTCACATGGGCACACTTGTAGTTCATGGCAGTGTGAAGACCACTGGAATTAAGTTTTGGGGTCAAGAGTCCCAAATCTTATTTCAATTTTACCAGAAATAATGCAAGAAATGTTGTGTGACCTTGGGCAAACTGATTTCCTCTCACTGGAGCTATGTCCCCGTGGGGGAGACAGTGAGGCCCCATGCCATCCAAACATTCACTTATTCAAATAGTCATCCATCCATGCACTAATTTTGCTTATTCATCAGTTCTTGTTCATTGAAGCTTATGGAGTCAGTTCTCTTGGCAGGATGATGGGGATTCGGAGTAAATCCAGAAGCAGGAGTTCTCCGCAGAGTGGAGAGACACATACCCCTCAGTATGTGGCTAGGCCCATGGAGGTCTAGAGTAAACAGAGGTCAGGAGGTCGGCACAGAAGCCCAGAGGAGGCAGCAATTAATTCAGACTAGGACGAATTTATAAGACAGTGTCTCTCGAAGAACTGAGAGACAGACACACTGACCAAAGACTCTTGCCTTTCAGGTTCCTTGGGTGCTTGTGGGCTCTTCAGGGAATGACTTCTTTGTCTTACAATTCTCATCTGGCCTTCTATAAGAAACTCATTCTTTTATTCTTGTACCTTCAAAGATGCCTCTTTAGGACTGTCTGGGTATCTTTGTGAAGGTCTCCCCGTTACCTAAGATTAAGTCCACATTTCTCAGTCTGATAATCAGGTTCTTACCTCTTCAAGCCTCTGCCTGTGCTCCTGCATCGGACCTTTGTTTCAGCCTTGTCAAACTATGTGAATGCCATGTTCTCTGCCTTATTGCCTTTGCTCATGCTGTTCCTTCTGCCCAGCTCCTCTGACCTTCCTATACAACATAATGCAATTAGCAATTTCTTCTTCTGTACCATTATACTTTATACATCATTTCAATTACTGCTTTTACCACTTTGTATTGAAGTTATCTGTGAACTCCTAGCAGTCAGGGATGCTATCTTCTTTATAGCAATATGGGCACATATTAAATAAATCCATATATATTATTGCACATATTTTAAAAGTTCATATATATATTATTGGATATATTAAATAAATCCATATATATATTTAATTCCTACAGAGACTCTTTCTATTTTACAGATGGAACAAGTTGAGAGAGGGGAACTGGCTTGCCAGGAACACATAGATAGAAGGTTGCAGAGATAAGATTCCAAAGTGACTGATTATTGTTGTTGTATCTGATTCTAAAACATTGTGTTCTTTCTGCTTTATCAGTCTAAGAGGTGAGGAAATTCTGTCTAAAGGGGGTAGAAAAGCAGATAGATATCCTGTAGAATGACTCAATGCTAATGTAGAAACAATTGCTGTAGATGTTATCAATATGGTCAAGGAAGCCTTCAATGGCATTTGAGCTGGTTCTTCACTTCAAAAAACCATATAGTTGGAAGGCAGCTATGCTCACCATTATACCACCAACGAGCATAATATAGAAAAGAAATAAATTTAATAAAGAGTTCAGAAGAAAACAAACAAAAACCATATACTTATTCTTTATTAGGCAATGGGAATTCAGAGCTATATCAGATGAGGTCCGTTGGCTTGAGGAATCCAGGATACCTGTGTTTGCTTCTGATATTCAAAAACAATGCAATATAATACGTAGAGAAATGTGATAGAGGCAAGACTCCTAACTCAGATTCCTTGTGCATCAGAGAAGCCTTTTAGAAGAGAACCCAGCCCTCCGTGACATTTGATGTGTAAATTAGCATTAGGAGGGGAAAAGGAAGTCTTTCTAAAGGACAGTCTAAGTAACCTATTTTTGGAGGCAAACAGCGTTCAAGGTGTGCCTAACACACTTTGTCTCTCAGCCTGCTAGTTACTGAAAGTGCGAAGAGGGGTGTGGAGTTAGTTGTGGAACTATTGCTGGACTGTCTGACAGTTTTCTGACCTCAGTGTATCCTGCGTGGTGATTTTCCGCCCAAACATAAATCATTTCTTTTCAATCCCGGCACGCTAACAGCAGCACCTCGGAAAAGACTGTTCAGGGAGTCTGAGATTGCAGACGAGCCATTGCTACCTTGCAGGCAGGACGGTACCATGGCAACTAGGTGAGGGCGGAAGTGGTTCGCTAAACTCTCACTAATCAGGTGACTGTCTTTCCTCCTGCACGTGATACCAGGGCTCAGATCCCGCCTCTCTCTCACTTTACAGGTAATTGACAGCCAGTTCGAGCAATGGTCTGCAGTTACACCAAGAGAGCACGCCCCATGGCACTGAAAGGACCAATGAAGCTGGGGGAAAGAGAAGCAACGCCTAGGTTTCACCCGGGTTTGACAGACGCAATTTAGTCCATTTTCTGGTCCCTCCTCCCCGAGCCCATTTACGAACGGCGACTGACAGGCCTCCTACCCAATAGCTCGCCCCTTGTCTGTCGTTGGGTCCCGCCCCTGAGGGAGTTGAACCAATGGGCAAGTCAGGTCTCGGCGGGGTGGTGGGGGTTGCACTGCGGTAATATGGCTCTTCCTTAAGCCAGCGGCGGCGACGGCTGGAGGTGGGGTAGCGTAGTCCTGCCTCTCAGGTGGCGGGTTTCTGGGCTGCGGGGCACGGCTGGTCGAGGCTGAGAGGTGGTGGCGGATGCCGGAGGAGCGCCGGCCCCGCCGCTTGGCGGCTCGTGGGTCAAGATGAGCGCCTCAGTGCCTATCGGGGGCCCTGTCCCCCAGCTGCCTGCCGGCGCTGCTGCCGCGCTCCCTCCGGGTTCTGCCGCGCGGGCCTTGCATGTGGAGCTGCCGTCTCAGCAGGTAATCCCGGGGGCTCGCGGCTCTGGGGAGGGACCGAGCGGAGGCCGGTGAGTAGACCCGGAGGGCGGCGTACTGACTGTGTGCCAGCTGGGAGACCCTGCGGAGTGGCCGTGGAGAACTCGGGGGGCTGGGGAGCACTGTCGGAGGTTCTGCGAGGGCTGGGATCCCCAGTGATGGCCGAACCTCTTGGAGATCTCAGTTTCCCGGAGAAATCCCGTTCCTGGGGATGGGCCGTGAAAAGACGGGAAGAGATCCAGATAAAGTCCCGAGGTTCTCCGAGTCCACGTCTCTGTGGGGAGCTGGGATTCCCTCCGAAGACCCTCCTCCTCGCCCCTCCTGGGAAGGGACCCGGGGATGCCCTGGTGTCCCACGAGACACCGGGAAAGCGCGTTTCCTTTCTCTTCGCACTTGGCGGAGAAACCACCTAGTAGTGCTTGCATCCGGAGAAGAGCGGCATCTTTAGGATTTTCTAGCCTTTACTTTTAATCCCCCTTTATTATGAGTTACTCCTCAGTTTCTTAAAAGAAATCCCCTTGGGACTTTCTTCCCAGTCCTCAGACCTCTAAACAACGCATTTTAGCAGTTTAGGGAGATGCTTTCCTATTTGATTTCCTCAAATGAGCATCCGTGGAATGAGGATTTTATGTATATTCATGTCTCGCCATCCTTTAGCAAGGGCTTTGAGTGCTTCTTGGATCCACATTGTATGGGGATAAATGAAGAGGGGAGCATTGACTTTGGCGATCTGACAAAATTCTTTGTTATTATCGACATACTCCCTTGCCCTTCTCTCCCCAAGAGGAGTCTGCGGGAAGATTAACTTTAAAGTGAGTTAAAGTCACCTCCCCCCCCCGCCCCTCCCCCCGGCCCCCCACCGTCTTATTGCTCCTTCCTACTAGAGGACCTGAGGGAAACTGTCAGTTCTTGAGAGTTTACCATGTTGAATCGGTGCGAGGTGATCAAAGCCTGGTAGATCCATTTAATCCTCACAATTTTACGAGATAGTTTTTTTTTATTTTCTTCATTTTGTAGTTGAGGAAACTGAGTCTTAACAATGTCAAGTCACTTGTCTAAAGCCTTGAGTTAGTAAGTAGTAGGGTTAGGGTTCAGAACCCTGGTAGCACATACACGTGGTTGTGGTGTTTGAGACTACCAGGCTGAGAAGAGTGAGTGCTCCTTCATACACCCGGTCTCCCCTCCCCCCCCCCACCTCTTCTGTGGTGCCGAAGATACTTAAGGAAGGGACAGAGATTGAGTTGAGAGTAGGTGGAAAATGAGATGGATTTGAATAGAGGAAAAGTGTGTGTGAGAGGAGTTGGGGATAATCAGTACTGTGGTAGCCACTGAACTATTTGCAGAAGCAAGAACTTTTTGTGATTTAAAAAAAAAAACTGGGATAGGCAGATATTGCCTATATAGGCATCTTTTAGTAAATTTGTCTTCTTAAAATGGGGAGTAAGTGGGAGAAAGATTAGGGTAGCATGTGTCCTGATGTGATGCTTCTGGGAAGGTAGAGAGGATGAGGAGTTTGAGGGTACTTTGGTTTGGATTTTATTTGAGGTGCTAGGGGAGAATAAAAGTCTGATGGTGGTGGTAGGCTAGACTCTGGAATGAGCATTAATGTTTGTGTGTGTGTGTGTGTCTCTGTCTGTCTGGAGCTGTGTAAGGGTGGATACTAGGAGAGGCAATGGTGAATGCTGAAGGAAATCCTGAGTAACAGAGGGGCAAGAGGGGTTTAGTTTGGTGGATTTTGAGAAAATGTGAGATTAAGAAAGAAAAAGAGAAAGAGAAAGCATTTGTTTGACAGGGCCTGATCTCTAACATTGGGTGAAACAAATCCAAACAGATTGTCTGTGGGATAAGTTCAACTGCTTTTGTAAACGTTTGTCAAAGTTTTGGATTCTTGCAGAAGGATATAGAGTGGCTGCTTAAATGTACAGCTGAATACTGTTGAGCCCTGAGTGGTATTTACAGCTTTCTGGGGGTGTTGTCCTTGAAATCTTGGGAGGCAGTCTGTTTATTTTAGCAAAAACACTTTTACTTTTGTAGCTGACTATAATTTAGCTTTCTAGATCAAAATGGTGACGTTTTAGTATACAAATATAAAACATTAAAAATTAAACATTTTTTGTTAACTTTTCGCTATATACAATAAAGCACAACGATTGGTAGTATACAGCTTAATGGATTGTCACAAAGTGAATGATTATATGACTATTGCCTGGATTAAGAAGTACAGAATTATTAGCATCCCGTATGTTGTCTGTCTCCCTTTGTTACCTTTTCTTCACTCCAAAAAGACCATTTCGATTTCTCATGTAGAAGATCAGTTTTTACTTGTTCTTGAACTGTACCTAAACCAAGTCATGCAAAATACAGTCTTTGGTGCCTGGTTTCTTTTGCTCAATATGTTTTTGAGAGTTGCAGGATGTGTATGTATAAACCTCATTTTTTTT